GGGGGGGGGAGGGGGAGGGCAGGGGGAGAGCTGGGGACTCCCGTAATTTGAGGGCACATTTCTTTTGAAGTTTGTTGGCACAATCTTCGCTCTGTGTGGCCTGGGAACATTCACCTGCCCGTCTTGTAAACCCAAGCTCCCTCCTCCTCTCCCTTCCAAGACCCAAGTCACCTCAGACCTGAGGCTCGGGCTGTTTCCGGGGCCAGCGCCCAGCAGCCGCGTGGCTGTCCCGGTCAGAGGCGGTCAGAGGCCAGGACGCAGTGCAGCCGCCGAGGGGCCTAGTCCTGGGTGCCCAGGTTCCATCTTGGCCTGCCCCTCCCCCCCCAGAAGCAGGGCCCAGGCCTTGGGTTTCCAGACGCCCCCCAAGACCCCGCTGCAGCCCAACTCATTCTCAGCCTCACTCCCACCGCACTTGGGAGACCTGCACTGTGTCCTGCATCGCCTTGCAGCCCCGACACACAGTGGGGGCGGGGGCGGGGGTGGAGGTGAGCTGAGCAGGCCCCTGACTCCCCTGCTGAGCATCCCCCAAATGCACCCCCCAAGATGCACCCCTTGTGACTCCCCTCCAGCATCACCTTGAAGCCTGTTTGAACCTCAGTTTCTCCATTTCTAGAAGTGCCATAAGAAAAGAAGGACTAGGGATCAGGAAAGAGAGAGAGAATTCCTTCCTGCGAAGATCAGGTCCTTAAAGGAAAAGCTACAGGAGTTAAGACTGGGATCTGTCGGGTGACACCGCCCCCCGGCCCCCCACCTCCACCCCCCAGCCCCCTTGGCAGTCAGCTTCCCTCCCTGGACCTAGGCCTCCGGCCCCTAAGGTCTTCGGTGGGGCAATCCTATCGCTGAAAATGCCCCGCACGGTGAAGCTCCCTCAGATCCTCATCAGTCACCCATTTACCCTCTGACTGTGCCCCAAACTGGCTGTACAGTCTAGATCACAGCCAAAGGAGAGAAGCCTGGCCCCTCCTGGAAGGTTCCAAGGCTCCTTGAAGGAAAGTCAGATGGTTGGCTCTGTACAGCAAGAGAGAGAGATTGGGATGAGCACTGAGTGTTATGTGGAAACCAATTTGACAATAAACTATGAAAGAAAAAAAAAAGAGAGAGGGAGAGAGAGAGAGCGACAAGTAGATTTGGAGAGAGAAACACAAAAGTAGAAATGGGGAGTGACAGATCTCAAGGCACAGTGAGACAGGTAGAAACCTGGAGAAAGAAAGGAGTCAAGGAGTCGGGGGAGAAACACACACACACACACACACACACACACACACACACACACACGGAGTAATGGATGGGGGGTGGGGGTAATTCAGAGACCAAGACGCTGAGCCAAAGCCTGAAACAGAGACACAAAGACCTAAAGAGAAATGTCTGAATGCCTACTTGTCCTCGGCCACCCTCCATTTCAACCACTCAACAGTGGGACCCAATGACGGCTTCCTCTTCAGTGTCACTGAGTCCCTTAAATAGTCAAGATTTTCGGGGCACCTGGGTGGCTCAGTCGGTTAAGCGCCCGACTTCAGCTCAGGTTATGATCTCACACGGTTCATGAGTTCGAGCCCTGCATAGGACTCTGTGCTGACAGCTCAGAGCCTGCTTCAGATCCTCTGTCCCTGCCCCCAAAATAAACATTTAAAATTAAAAAAAAAAATCAAGATATTCTCCATCCTTACCCCACCTCTCCACCATTCTGTAACTCGCCTGATGCCCCCCCCCCCAACCGCTGAGTTCCACCTTCTCTCAAACTCCTTCCAGGTCATATCACAATCGGACGAGCTGTCAAGACCTGGCCACTTGCAGTCAAGAGCTGGCCTCTGACAGTCTCCTTTCCTGGCCATTCCTCTTTCTGCTTATCCGTGTCCTTATTCTGGCTGAACTGAGAGCACAGCGCCAGAATTAGGGTCAGGAGGTCAATTGACCAGAGTGAGCCGGAAGGGGTGTGAGGGGAAAGTGTAGAAAGGTCAGAGGACGGTAGAAGAGGCGGAGCAGGCCTGAAGGGTGGGACAGGCTGGCAGAAGGGACTGAGGGACACACCGGCAGAAGGGACCGAGCAGGTCCCGAGTGGGCAGCTGTGGCCCGAACAACGCTGAGAACCAGGCATGGCTCCAGGGTCCGGCTGAAGTCAAGGGAAGAGAAGAGAGACTTTTCTGAAGACGGCGGCGCAGGTACAGATCTGGGGCTGGGACCCACATCTGAGGCTGCAGGCATCCTTGTACCAGAAATGGCACTGAGACCCGTCTCAGGGGGAGTGCGTCAGGCTCATGAGACCTCAGGGTGTGCTGCCCCCAGCCCCGGACGGACGCTGTCCCCGGATACGATGAGCAGGTGAAAGCGGGTCAGAAAAGGTGTGGCCCCCTGGCTGCCCATCTCCTGTTCTCTCAACGTCCTCTGTCAGACCCACCCTTCCCTTTCTCTTAACGCCCTTCAGCCTCTGGATCGCTGACAAGGTCATCATATTCAACTCTAGATGCTGCTCTGGGGTGTAAAGTAAGTCATACAAAGACAGACTGGCTGGTGTTTTTTCTTTATCTTTTCTTTAATTTTTTTTTTTTTTTTTTTTTGAGAGAGAGAGAGAGACAGGGCAAGGAGGGGTGGGGCAGAGAGAGAGGGAGACACAGAATCCAAAGCAGGCTCCAGGCTCCGAGCTGTCAGCACAGAGCCCGACGCCGGGCCTGAATCCATGAACCGGGAGATCATGACCTGAGCCGAAGTGGAATGCTTAACCAACTGGGCCACTCAGGTGCCCTGTGGTTTTTTTTTTCTATCTTTTCTCTTTTCTTTTCCTCCCTCCCTCCCTCCCTCCCTCCCTCCCTTCCTTCCTTCCTTCCTTCCTCTTTCTTTTCCTTCCTCCTCCCCCCAACCGCCCCCCTCTCTCTCACTCTTTTTCTTTTTTTTTTTTTCTCACTCTCTTTTCCTTTCCCCTAGATTTTCTTCTCCCTCCTTCAAACTATGGGCTTGATTCAGACTAACCAAAGGTGGATAAATGCCTCAAGCTACTAGATGGGCCTGGAGGGGGCCCCCACCAAGAAGTATGTGAGGTTCAGGCTCTTTATCCACATGAAATGCAAAGTGCTGAGGACTCAGCCAGGGTGGGAGCTGAGGGAAGGAACACAAAGCTGAGAGAGAGAAGCTGGAAAGGCCCTGGGGTGGGGAGTTCCCTGCTCTACCCAGGAGAGGCAGAAAATGAGTCTGGCCAAGGGGCGCCTGGTGGCCTCAGTCAGTAGAGCTTGTGACTCTTGATCTTGGGGTTGTTAAGGTCAAACCCCACCTTGGGTGTATATTACTTAAAATTAAGGTCTTTGGTGGAGTCTGAGGGGCTCAATTGATTAAGCATCCGACTCTTGATTTTGGCTCAGGTCATGATTTCACGGTTTGTGTGTTCCAGTCCCCGGGTTGGGCTCCGAGCTGGGCATGGAGCCTGCTTAAGATTCTCTCCCTCTCTCTCCCTCTACTCCTCCCCTGCTCTGGAGTGCCCTCTCTCTCTCAAATAAAGGAACATTAAATTAAATCTTGGGGGGGGGAAGGAAATGAGTTGGGCAAAGTGAGCATATAGGCCAACAAGGCTGAAGTGACATGACCACCCCGCCCCCGCCCCAGGCAGCTCCTTGCCCAACTCCTAGCTGTTGGGAGGCCAGCCAGTCAGAGAAGTCTTCAAGAGAAGGCTGGCTTTCAGATTTCAGTCAGGGACGTTAGAAGTTGGGAATTTTCTAGAGATTTTGTTACCGTGATCTGGGAAAACTGAGGACTGTCTGGCAGGCTCAAGGAAAGCTGGAATTGGGCTGACAGAGACTTTCGAAGCTCTCATTGGTTCTCCGCTCCGAGGACAAGTGGGAAACAGATCCTGTAACCTTCCCGCACATACTCTGGCCACGCTGTGTGCTCTGAGGACGCGCTCCGTCAGACCCCGGGGTTACAGGCCCGGCCCGCCCGCAGCCCTGGTCCCGTGCAGGTCTCCATTTCAGGGGCATGACTGCCCAGAGCTGACGTGTAGAGGCCACAGGCAGCAGTAGCAGCCGTCACCCCCCTCTGCAGCTCAGGGCTGGGGGCACACGTCCGGCTTCTGTGCTGGGCATGGAAATCTGTCTGCATTTGCTCCTGTGGCCAAACTCCTCGGCTTGGATCTGGGCCTCTTCTCCTTCACTGGGTCCTGGAGGGACAGAGGAAGAAGGCTGGGGACCTGGCTGCAATGAAAGGGAGAGACCAGGGAGAAGCAGGAGTTTGTTTTCTTGTTCTTCTCTCTCCCGCCCCCGCCTCCCCACGACGCCCCATCCAGCTTCCAAGGCTGGGCAGCTTCTGGCCTGGATCTTATCGGGAGAGACTCCCTGCCCTTGATCTCGAGCTCCAGATGCCACAGCACCTCGGTCTCCCTGCGTCGTAGGAGCCTAGGAGGCGAGCTGAAATAAGGAATTATTCTTCCCAGGGCTGCGTAGTGGAAAGTTCACCAAGTCTCAGGCATTTCCCTTCACCCGCAACCAAACACACACGCACACGCACACGCACACGCACACACGCAGCACGGTGTGCCCTGCAGCAGGCTCTACCGCCCTCTAGTGGCCAGAGCAGAAAGGACGCTCAAGCCTCTAGCAGGGAAAGTCGTCTGCAAGACGCCGGAGACATAAAACCCACAGCAGTTTATCAGTGAGAAAGCTCAGGCGGCCCGCAGTCACCCCGAGAGTCAGGGGCGCGGCCGGGACCAGAACCCACGTCTCCTGACTCCCACGTTCCCGGCCTCCCCCCTCTGACGCATCCCTGGGGACGACAGGTGCAGTTAGAAAAGGGTGTCCCTCCTCGCCCCCTGCAGAGCCACGCCTGCACCTCAAATCAGCTCGCAGCTTTGAAGACAGGGGTCCTTCTGAGGACGGGGCCGCCCTCTGACAGTCTTTCAGGATTGTTCTGGACCTCGCGCCCCTCCCGTCGCCACGGTGACAACACTGTCCGTTCCCGCCGCGACCCAGGTCTCCGGTCTCCACGGTAACCGGTGCTTTGCGGCCTTCGGTTTGCAGCCGGTCGCGCTGCCCGAGCGGCAGTGGTCGCGGGGCGACGGCGGTGCGCGGCAGGGACCCCGGCGCTTCCTAGGGGGGCGGGGTCATGGCGCTGGTGGGGCGCCCGGGGGGCGCGGGCTGGACCTGGCGGCCGGTGGCCCGGGACGCGCTCCTGGCGCGGGCCTTCCATTCCTGCACTGAGCTGCGGGGACGCTTCTACCTGGTGGGGGGCCTCCCGGCCGGAGGGGCGACGGCGCCGAGCGACGACACGGTGGTCTTCGACCCGGCGGGGGGCCAGGCCGTGCGGCTGGGGGCCCGGGGCGGCCCGCGGCGCAGCCACCACGACGCGGCGCCGGTGGCCGGGCGCTGGCTCTGCGTGGTGGGCGGCTGGGACGGCTCGCGCCGCGTGGCCACGGTGGCCGCGCTGGACACGGAGCGCGGAGCGTGGGAGGCGTGGAGCGCGGCCCCGGGCAGCCGCCCCCCCGCCGGCCTCAGCAGCCACACCTGCACCCGCGTCTCCGACCGCGAGCTGCGGGTGGCGGGCCGGGAGGGCGGGACCCGCACCCAGCGTCGCTTCGGCAGCGTCTACACGCTCCGGCTGGACCCGGGCGCCCGCACCTACAGGTACGGCCCTCTCTCCTGCCCCCAGCCCCGGCCACCCTCCCTTCATCGGTGCGCTGGAAAAGCGCAGGCGAACAGAATCGCAGGCACTTGGCCACATCCGCACCCTAGCACCCCCTCCCAGCCCCGCACCCACCGTGACCGAGATGGCGCCCCCCCTCCCCCATCCGACCGCTGCCCGGTCCGGCCTGCCTCCTTTCTAGGCTTGCCACAGGAGACAGGGGCTGGGGGAAAGGCAGTACAGCGCAGTATTTTCCAGAAAACCCAACTCAGGCCCGAACTCCCGCATGTCCACAGCTACAAGGAAGAGGCCTGCCACACAGCCTCCCGCTCAGGTCACTGCGCCGCCCTGCTCCAAACTCGGGGGCCCCGCCCGGGCCACCAGCTCGTGCTGTTTGGGGGCTGCGGCTCGGCAGACCCAGAAGTAGCCGGGCACTGGGATCACGGGGAGCTGAAGGTACCGGCCGCTCACATGCGTGTGCTTGGGCGGCGGGGCGCCGACACGGTGAGGCCAGCCCCTGCTGCCGCGCCTTCTTTCCCCCCGCAAGGAGGAGCCGCCCGCCGCCCCGCATCTGACGGCACGGCTTGCCAGGCTCGTGGGCACTGGGCAGGGGTCCCAGCAGGGGCCGCGGGGCCTGCGGCACCACTCCTGCTCCGTGGTGGGGCCCTTTGCCGTGCTGTTTGGCGGAGAAACTCTGACCAGAGCCCGGGACGCCGTCTGCAACGACCTGTACATCTATGACACCCGTGAGGGCCCGCCGGCTGGGGGGAGGAGGGGGGAGGGGGGAAGACCACGGGAACCCGCAGACGCCCAAAGAGTGACGCGCAGGGCCGAGGAAGAACGGGCAGGAGGGGCAGGTCTCGTGAGGACACGACGCCAGCGCCTCCCGCGCGCCCTCTGCTTTCCCCCGGCAGGCGGGTCTCCGCCTTTGTGGTTCCGCTTCGCCTGCGCGGACCCAGGGCTGAAGCGCGTGGGCCACCGCACCTGCCTCTGGAACGACCAGCTTTACCTGGTTGGGGGTTTTGGCGAGGACGGCAGGACGCCCAGCCCGCAGGTTTGCATCCTGGACCTTTTTGCCTAAAGAATGGCGCCCAGACACCTGGCGTCCGCTGTTTCGCTGCAGACTCGGGGAGCTCGGCCACCAGAGCGCTCTGCCTCGTTTCACATGCTTATTAAATTCCAATCTGAGAGTCAACACTGGTCTCTGAATCTTTGTGGGGGGAGGGGAGTGAATAAGGAGACACCTCTTTATTTGCAAGGAAGAGGATAAAATCGGGGGCCTCCTCTGAAACTGTGAGCCATTAGCCTGATGGACCCAAACCCCACAAATCACACGCTTTTCCGAGCCTCAGGCAGGTCCCGCCCCTAAAACTGGGAGAAAGCTGGAGGCTAGAGCTAAGCATTCTGACCAAAACATTTAATTAACAAAAAAATATTACAATAGCAGAGAAAATAATAATAATAACAATAAAGAGAACTTAGAAGAGGTGGGAGTCGGGGTAGAAAAAACGCGCAGGGGCCTCGGCCCCTAGGAGACCAGCACGCCGGCCGAGGTGGACTTGGCCCCCGCGCCGTCCGAGCTCTCCTTGGCTGCGGGCTTCTCGTCTTCCCCCATGAGCCGAATGTTGTGCTTTTCCCGGAACTCGTTTAACTCTCTTCCCTTTGCCTGCAGCTGCTGTGTAAGCGTCTCAATGATCTTCTGTATCTGGGGAGCGAGTGACAGGGGTTAGAGGAGGGTTTCAGGAGCCCGGCCCCCCCGCCCGGACGACTGTAGTTGGGGGCGTGAAGGGGAGGATGCCTCCAACCTCACCTTTTACCAAGTGCGAACAGTAGAGCCCAGACACTGAAAGGATGCCTTTCTCGAACACAACGGGGTACGACTTTAATGTCTTTAATGCACGTAAGAACCACTTGGGCTGTTTATTTTTAAAATGCCGCTCCACGCGGCGCCTGGCTGGCTCGGTCAGTAGAGCACGTGACTGTTGATCTTGGGGCTGGGGTCTGAGGTCTACGCTGGCCACAGAGAGGACTCCACCACAGTCCCGGCCCCGGGGCCTCCCCTCCCCCACCCCTCCGCTGCCCAGAGCTTCCAGGCAGGGACTCGTGCTCACCTGCTCCTTGTTGTTCTCCAGCGCGGGCAGCACCTCCTTGACCGTCCGCTCCACCAGCACGCCTCCAACCATGCGGTAGCACTTGCGGGCTTCGTCCACCTCCTTCAGGGTGTCGATCACCAGGCTGGGGCGGGACGACAGGCCGCTCAGAGGACAGCCTCCCCCCCGCCGCAGCCCCCCCACCTCTCCCGCGTGCGCCTCCCCTGCTTCCTCACCTGTGCTCATTCAACTCCATCTCCAGCTCCGCTGCTTTGGATGCCAGGCCCCGCTGTTCCTGTCGGAGGCGGTTGAAGCCCGCAATAACCTTGGCAGGTGAGAAGGGGTTAAGTGAGGGAGGAGACGGGGACACAGCAGAGGGCCAAGAAGCAGGGCAGGATGGCGAGCTGTGGACGCCCCCCACCCCCCCATTGGAAAGGGAATAGAACCCACTGTCATTTCTACCTTCAGTCTGCCTGGAAGGCATTCACTAACTGGCGAGAGCGCGCACCTGCCCGCAGTGTGAGCTCCGCAGTCCCTCCCGCAGCCCGCAGCCCACCGCCCACCGCAGGCTGAGGAACAGGCATCTGTAACTCAGGGCGGGTGGAAAGCCACTGGGGCACCTGCAGTGACGCTTAGACTTGCAGGGAAAGAAGACTGTCAGGAAAGACTCCAGTGAGGAAGTCCTGTTCAGCTCTGCCCAGCACTCCTCCCACAGGGGAACCCCCCTCCCTTAGCTCAGGGGGTGCCTGTGGGGCTACGATTCACAGGACCCTTGGCCCCTGACCACAAGGGCAGTGGCCTGTTCTAGACCAGAGTCTCCGTACAGGGGCAGGTTTGGGGAGTAGAGAGAAACCGGTCCGGAAGACAGCTGGGCGAAAACTACTTGCCCTGCAGAGAGGATTCTCCATTCCTCCTCCTGAAATCCCCAAAGCTGCCCTAGTTCTTGAATGTGGTGTGACCCAGTTATTTAACCTTTCTTTTCATTGTGTTCAATTCTGTGAACTACCTACTATCCTTCCAAAACACTACTTAAAAAAAAAAATTGATCAGAGTCCATTTCTGTAGCCTAGAATCCCTAACTAACACCGGCTTCCTGAGAGAGAGCCTTACTGAAGCCTGAAGGATGAGAAACGCGGAGCACCGGGGGCAAAAGAGGTGTAAGATGCAACTTCCATTAAGGCCTAGAGAAATGATTACTACCAGCTCCTTGTTCCCCAGAAACAGCAGAAGGAACTTAAAACAGCGTGAAAACCAGACTGGGCACTAAAATCACTGCCACCATCACCTTCAGTACAGGGCTCTGAGGGCTGTGTTTGGAAAGAAGTATCAGATAAAAGGTAGAAAATGTAATGAGGAAAGAAAATTGGGGGGAGAGAAAAACACCGGGCCCAGAGACCAAAAAAAAAAAAAAAAAAAAAACCAGGTTCAAGTTTTGTCTCTGCCACATACTGGCTCTATGTCCTTGGACATTTAACCCTATGGTTCTCAACCCCGGTAACGTGTTAGAATCCCCAGGAGACCACTGTTAACACATGAATGGGGGAGCCTCTGCACAAGTCCACAATCACTGGGTGAGTGAGGCCCAGGCCTCCATATTTCTAATGCTCCCACATCATTCTCATGTGCATCCAGAACTGAGAACCAGGTTACCCTCTCTGGGCCGCAGTTCTCTCACCCGTGAAGCACACGGGGTCCCCACCTCACAGCGCTGCCGTATCGCGTGGGCTAGTTAGGAAAGGGCTTCGCAGACAGTTGACTACGGTCATGGCCCTCTCCCCAAACCCCCAGTGCGCCCTTGGCCCTTCCTGATCAGCTGAGAGCAGCGGGCCCACCCACTCAGACCGCACCCAGTCTCTCACTCCCACCCACATCCTGTGCAGGCTCATGGCCGCCAGAGAACCGCCTCACCTTCACTAGGACCTTTCCTTCTGTCGCTCCCTCCACAAGCCTCATCTACAGCTCATACGATCCGGCTGGCTGCCCTGTGCCACCCCGGCACCCTTTTCCTGCTCTAGAGGCAAGGAGTAAGTCTGACCAGGACCCTGTGGCTCCAGCGGGATGCTGCCTCCTCCCGCCACCAACCTTCCATCGCCACGCACTTCACTCACTCGCTGCAGCAACTGCTCTGACATCGAACTCAACTATGAGCCGTTGTCCTTCACCCCCATGGCCGGTGCCCAACTATTCCATCTACGGTTAGCTTTTCCTCCACTGTCCGTGTCATAGGATCAAATTTCCTCTAAGGAAATTCCACACCTAAACCGGATTCTAGATGTCCTCCTAGCATCCGAATGAGCCTCTCTTCTGATGTATTTTGTTAAACACATTAATGAAATCAGCCTAAGGGTCTAAAATTTCTGAGGCCTAAACTTACTTTCCTTAGTAATTAGTAAACTCTACTTTTCAACCACGAATTTAACACAACTAAAGGCAAAAAGAGATTTTTTTTTTAACTCCGGTTTTTCTTCAAACATTCTTGCTAATTAACACCCCCTACTTCCTCTTGGTCCAGTTTATGAACTTTTAATCAAATGTCAAACTAAAATAAGTAGTTTAAATGTATGAGTTATCCACAGTTATTATGGAAAATTTCAGCCACTGGTGCACTTAAAGGAAATGAAATCTCTTAGCAGCTAACTGTAACCTAATTGTAAACTAGATGCAAAATAAGCCGCTATTAACCTGCCCATGAAGACAGAAAGGCTGTGATGTATTCGCACGTTGTTCTCTTAACACACAACTTGTCTTTCGGCCTTCTCCCTGATGGCCAGACTTACTTTTCCTCCTCGCTCCCTTACTCCCCATCCTCCTGACGTCGTCTGGCGGGAGAAGGGACAGCTAGGTCAGTGCTGATTCTCTCGGCCCTACTAACAACGCCTCTTACATGGAAACAGACTGAAAAAGAACCCAATTAAACTAAAATACCAACTGTTTATCCTAGTCAAAAGTAACTTCAATCCTGGCAACTATACAGAGCTCTTTACATTCTTATAATTGGCACTAACAATTTTATACAGGACATGGTTTTCTTTTTCTGCCCCCCGTTACTGACTTATAATTGACATATTACATTGTGTAACTTTAAGGTCTACAACGTTATGATTTAATATATGTATGTATTGTGAAATGTCTGCCACAATAAAGTTAATACATTCCACATGTTAACCCTTTCTGTGTGTTCACATATAAATACGTATCAAGTCCTTAAATATTCTGGTAGAAAAGCTTTCCAATTTTAGTGCATTTCCAATGTGATCTTTACTGTTGTCTTCTTTGAAATTTTAAATGTGCAAATGCAACCTCTTTAAAAAATTTTTTTTAATGTTTCTTTTTAAGAGAGAGAGACAGAGAACAAGCAGGGGAAGGGGCAGAGAGAGAGAGGGAGACACAGAATCCGAAGCAGGCTCCAGGCTCTGAGCTGTCAGCGCAGAGCCCGACTCGGGGCTCCAACTCAAGAACCGTGAGATCATGACCTGAGCCGAAGCCAGACTGACTGAGCCCCCCAGGCGCCCCTGCAACCTCTTTTTAAATATCTGTTTTTTCCGTAGTTCTACAGTATTGCACCTTCCTTCCAAGGTTTGTAAGTAAAAGACCACTACTATGTGCCAGGCGCTCTGCTAGACTCTATCCCATGAATTCTAAAACAAAAACACAGTATAAGACCTGTACCTTTAGTAGACCAAGGATGGTGGAGAGAGAAGGAGGGGGAGAGGGGGAGAGGGGGAAAGAGAGAGAGGGCAGATGTGTAAATAACACAGCGAGCTGCGGAACTGGTACCTCTGCCCGTCTGGCTCTGTGGAGCTCTAAGGACCCTTTCCTACCGACATATTATTCCTGGCTTGTCATACATCACCTCTCATGGATGTCAAATTAGGGGCATCTGGCTGGGCTCAGTTGGAAGAGCATGCGACTCTTGATCTAGGGATTGTGAGTTCAAGGCCCACACTGGGTGTAGTGATTACTTAAAAAATAAAATCCTGGGGCGTCTGGGTGGCTCAACCCGTTAAGCGTCCGACTTGGGCTCAGGTCATGATCTCATGGTTCATGACTTCGGGCCCTGCATCGGGTTCTGTGCTGACAGCTCAGGGCCTGGAGCCTGTTTCAGATTCTGTGTCTCCCTCTCCTTCTGCCCCTCCCCCACTCGTGCTCTCTTTGTCTCAAAAATAAACAAAAAACAATTTTTTAATAAAAAATAAAATCTTAAAAAAGTCACACTATTTTCATATGATTTATTTTTGTTTTATTTTTTCTTTTGTTTAATCAATACCATCTAGTTTTGGTAACTTTTGGAAAAATCTGCAATCAATACCTTTATCTCCAAAATGTCCTTTGGTCTTCTTACCTACAGGATATTTACTGTTATTGGTTCACAGAAGAATGAATAACAGGTCAAGAATTAGGACTGCATGCATCTGGAAAAGCATTTTATAGGGTATCACTAAGTATCTTCTTTTCATTTCAGTGCCCCTAACCCTAACCCTTTCCCTGACAAACACCCTCAGCTATCAAAGAAAACTGCTTTGACTTTATTACTCCTCTTCATCTTTTTTTTTTTTTTTTAAAGTAGGCTTACCACCCACAGGGAGCCTAATGCAGGGCCCAACTCACAGTTCTGAGATCAAGACCTGAGCTGAGGTCAAGAGTGGGACACTCGGGGCGCCTGGGTGGCTTAGTCGGTTAAGCGTCCGACTTTCGCTTAGGTCATGATCTCGCGGTTCGTGGGTTCGAGCCCCGCGTCGGGCTCTGTGCTGACTGCCAGCTCAGAGCCTGGAGCCTGTTTCGGTCTGTGACTCCCTCTCTCTCTGACCCTCCCCTGCTCACGCTGTCTCTCTCTCTCTCTCTCTCCTAGAAATAAAATAAAACATTAAAAAAAAAAAAAAAGAGTGGGACACTCAACCGACTGAGCCATGCAGTCGCCCCTTCATCCTTTTTTAGACTAGTCTATACTCACTGCCTCGACTTTCTCACCTCGCATTCATTCCCAACCCACTTTAAATTGTTTTCTGGGGCGCCTGGGTGGCTCAGTCGGTTGAGCGTCCGACTTCGGCTCAGGTCATGATCTCACGGTTTGTGGGTCCGAGCCCCGCATCGGGTTCTGTGCTGACAGCCAGCTCAGAGCCTGGAGCCTGTTTCAGATTCTGTGTTTCCTTCTCTCTCTCTCTGACCCTCCCCTGCTCACGCTGTCTCTCTCTCAGAAATTTAAAAAAAAAAAAATTTTTTTTTATAAATTGCTTTGTATCTATACTAGTTATTAAAGTATTATTATTTATTAAACTAACTTCTCAAAGATCACGAACGGCCTTCTGCCTAACCCAACAATGTTTTCTGTTTTCACTCTGCTTCTTTGGAACTCTTCCTGTAAGCCGCAGCGTGGTGTGGTGGGCCTGGCCCAGACTTCTGAGCCCAACGGGACGGGTTCATAGCCCCGTTTTGCTGTATGACCAAGTTACCTAACTTCTCTTGGTTTCCTCATTTATAAAACGGGAGTTAATACACCAGAAAGCAGGGTTTCCAAACATCAGCACTACTGGTGTTTGGGGCAGGAAAATACTTTCTTACGGCGGGGGAGGGGGGGGGCGGTCCTGTGCACTGGGGGGTACTTAGCAACCTCCCTGCTCGCACCTGCTAAAAGCCAGCAGCAACTCCTGCTTGTGGCAGTGAAAACCGTCTCCAGGCCTTGCCACAGCTCTCCCGGGGACAGGGCCCGGCAAGCGGAGAACCCCTGCCTCAGGGCAGCACCGAGACCAGTGTCCAGCGCCGGAGTCACGTACGACCCTTCGGTCCATGGGTTCTCCAGCCTGTCCTAACGCTCCGTCCCCCTCCTGAGGCTCGCCCTCTCACCCCCACAACGGAGGAGGACCTAAGACCCATAGCGCCTGTCCCTTTATGACCTGCGCTACTTCGGTCGGTACTCTCAGCTACCCCTGTGGTTCCAACAACTGCCTTCGCTCCGCTGCCGGCAAACCCAGGCCTCAGAAATTCTAGGCCCGTATCTCCAATTAGAGGAAGGGCTCGGAAGTCAGTCAGAAGTGGCTTCGAAGTCTAAGTCAAAGCCAGGAGCAAGTTGCCTCTTTTTGGAATCTCAGTGTCTTCACCAATAACATTAGGGTTAGTATCCGTCTCCTAGGATGTTCGTGAAGATCATTTAGTTACACCAAGAACTTAGGACAGTATCTGGCAGAAAACAGACTGTCAACAAATGGTAACTATTAGCACCGAACATTCCCACGTAACTGTCCTACAGGAACTTTAAACTCGGGGCATTCACAGCCGAACTGATCATCTTTCACCCCGTTTTAAACTGTTTCTTTCCTCGTCTCCCCTATTTCTGCTAATGACCCCACCGGAGCCCTCCAGGCAGAAAACCTGGCTTCACCTTTGAACGCACCTTTATCGCAACCCCTGCCAGACTGACTGCATCTACCTCAGCAGTTTTCTAGGCTCACTGACATCATCCTCGTTCGAGCCTTCCTTATCTCTTGTCAAAACTACTCCTGTAGTCTTCTGAATTATCTCCCTATTTCGGGACTCTCCAAATTCATCCTATACGCTGCTGGTAATTTAGTTTTCCTAACACTTGGATGACACAGAAAAATGCTCGTCATACGCTGGGCTTAAGACGCAGATTACAAGATGGTATATACGGTATAATGATTATATCACAGAATACGTTAACATGTAAAGAACACACATCGTCCCTCTCCATCTACACACACATATACAAAAACATGAAAGAGGGGGAGAAGCCTCCTTTGAAGTAGATCAAAAGATACACTCCAAAATGGTAATAACGGTTACCTTCGGAAAGTAGGCTCGTGGGTAAATTTATTTATTTTGTACTTTTTCCTGTGTTTTCTACATTTCCCACAATGAACATGTCTTATTTTATGTAACAAAAAAAACAAAAAACAAACCAAAAAAACCCCAACAGTATACCATACGTCCTTCTGTGACTGCTTACATTAAAAAGTTCCAAACTCCCGGGGGGCGCCTGGGTGGCTCAGTCAGTTAAGCTTCTAGCTCTTGATTTCAGTTCAGTTCATGATCTCACGGTTCATGAATTCAAGCCCCCGCATCAGGCTCTGAGCTGACAGTGCAGAGCCTGCTTGGGATTCTTTCTCTCCCTCGCTCTCTGCCCCTCCCTTGCAGGCTCTCGTTCTCTCTCTCTCTGTCTCCCTCTCAAAATAAACTTACAAAAAGTTCCAAATTCTTTGCCATGTGCTCGGCTTGCTTTCAGCACCGCACCTTTCCTACCCCTCATGATTTAGCAAACTAACCGCTCACCGGCAGCCCGGGCTTCCCTAGCTCTCCTCTTCTCATCCTAGTCCTGAGATTCTATATCCATTACCGCCTGTTCAAATCTACCCAATCCCTCAGGCTCAGCTCAAATATCTCTAATGTGATCACGGTATAAGCGGAAAAATAGGTCTGTCTGAGTCTCAAGTCACTCAATCCAGTAAAAGCCCTGCTCTTCCAGTTACTGGCTTTGGGGAAGTCAACTAAAGTCTCTGAAACTCAAATGTCCTTACCTACAAAGGGAAGACGGTATAACCCATCCAAATGGCATAATAAATCAACAGAAGATAAAACAAGGAAAGGGTCTAGTACGATGTGTTCCTTCCTTCTATCTTGTTAATAAGAGACATATGTAGCACACGTTTGCAGCAGTGATAAATCTAACTCTCACACACACACACACACACACACACACACACACACACACACATTTTCTAAAGTAAGCTCCAGGCCCAACGTGGGGCTTGAACGCATGAACCCTCAGATCAAGGGTCACGTGCTCTGTGGGCCAGCCAGGCGCCCTGATAAATCTTCTTTTTTTTACCCAGAGTTCTCTCTGGAACACAAAGGCCACAGAATGTTAAGCAAGAACAGCCTCAGAACCCAATTACCACAACTGCTCAGCCCTCTCTGAGGGGTTCTTCTTTCTCCATAACCCCTTAAATACTAGCTCTGCCCTTGTTCTGCTTCTTTTTTCACTCTCTGTGCAAACCCTCGATGATTTCACCCACAACCATGGCTCTATCACTCATAAGCTTGTAATTCTCTAATCTGCATCTCTGATTCGGATTTCTGTAACTCAAGATTTATAAATCAAACCAACTACTAAACGTCTCTACTTGAACGTCCTACAAGAAACCCAAACTCAACCCCTGAAAATAAACTCATTTTCCCTCCGAGACGTTTCTGACCTCCCTACATTCCCTATGGCACCAGCATCCATCAGAGACAGAGATCTGGGAAATATCCTAGACCCCCTCTATCCCTTTGTCTCCACATTCAAACCTTGCACCTCATCCTGTACTTTGTCTACCTGCACCCTAAACATGCCAGGCAGTTTTATACCTCAGCGCTTTTAAGTGCCTTACTCCCTCTTCCTAGGAAAGTCTCCACTTCCTTCTTTGCTTGGCTAACTCCTCTCATCCTTTAGAATTCACTTGAAGGACTATCTCTTCCAGAAGGAGGGAAAGAACAACAACCCAAGACCTAGCAGTTATTAAACACATACTACAGTCACTGTGCAAAAACACTCTGCATACATTTTTGCCTAATAATCGAAACAGTGATGAGGTACCATCAAACATAATTTTTAGTTTAGAATGTGTGCACGCACGGGGCAGATGGAGAGAATGTTAGGCAGGCTCCACGCTCGGCATGGAGCTCCACTCGGGGCTCGATCCCCCGACCCTAGGATCATGACCTGAGTCAACATCAAGAGTCAGATGCCCCACAGACCAAGCCACCCGGGGGCCCTTGCATCAGTGCGGTTTTACAGGAGGGCAGGGTGAGAGAAGTCACTCATGGGAGGTCATCTATACAAAATAAATAGTAGAAATGTGATTCAAACACAGATCTGCCAAACCCAAGTGCACTTCTTCCGCCCTGAGCCACCCCACTATACCACAGCTTCCCTCTCCCACCCATTCCTCGTTAGGGGGTCCCTCCCTTAGCTACCTACCATAAAGACGGGCCTGTGTGATATACTGCGCATCCTGAGTCTGTGGGCTAACTTGAAAACAAGGTCTACGTCTCCCTACACTCAGCAGAGGGCCTGGCACGTGGCAGACCCTCAGAAAGTATTAGGTTTCTTTTCTCTTCCTTTCCACCCGGCTCCCCCCACCCCCTGGGCAGAAACTCTCTCTCTCCCCCTCCCCCCAAAGATCCCACAGCACTATCGTCTTCTGCCTCATATTAGCATTTCGTAGTGTACGTTTACTAGGAGCTCTTTGAATGGAGCAATTTGAAAAACCTTTATGCAGATACCTTTGCCTGTAGCAACGGTTCAACAAATAACTGATAAGTGAACCTGTAATTAGAAGAGCTCTTGTTTATGTTTTCCTCTCAATCATGTAGCTTTCTTCCCACTCCTATTCAACACGAGCCTCACTATTAGCAAATGGCTCCCACGCCACAAAAGGCTGAGTTATTTATCAAACGTCTCGCGATGCTAGATACTGGGGGAAATGCAAACTCGGCTTAGAAAAGGGTTTCTGGTCGCTGAAGAAATTCAATCTTATAATGACTCCCGAATCAAAACAGCATGGGAAACACTAGACTGTTCGAGTATGTGAGTCACGTGGCTCTGCAGAGCGAGGGCGACTGTCAACGTGGTTTCAGGGTCACGTAACCGACCACACACAACCAGCCCGTTGACTAATCCTCTGGGATTCGTTACGAGCTGCCTTGCCCGGCCAATCCTGTCTGAGGGTGCGGAGAAGTGGGCAAAGGGACGGCCTAGCTCCCCTCACAAGTGTGCATCCTCTCACACCCCGCCTCTCGGGGCTCTGGCCTCCGGCCGGCTCTCCCAACGCCCCCAAGGGAGGCGTGGCCTTCACCCACCAACCCTTCTGCTCCCTCCCTGGGGGCTCGGCCGGCTTCTCCAAGGACCCTCCCCTCTCTGGGCGGCCTCGCAAAGGTGGGACAGGAGTGAGGCCTGCACCAGCCACGGGCTCCCCTCCTCTTCCCGCATCGACGCCGGACCCGGCCTGGCTGCCCTCCTCCGCGTTCTCCGCTCCTCACCTGCTCTGCCGACACCGCCCCTTTCCCCGCGCCGCTACCGCTGCTCTTGCCGGCGCGACCGCTGCTGTCCGCCATCTTCGCCGCCTGCTGGGCTTCCGGCCTGCGCAGCTCCGCCCCGTCGTACGTCACATCCGGTCTGGAGGTTGCCGCCCCCTCGCCCCGGTGCCCCTGGCTCCAGGCCGCTCTTCGGTTCGGATCCTGCGGATGGTTTTGGCTGTGTCTTCATGTAGGACCTACCACCTGTCCTGCGGGCCGCGGTGAATTCCGCCTGTGGTGCTTTAACTTGTGCAACAGAGACACTGCCCCTGGGAGAGGCGGAGAGGACGGGTTAACCGGAGAGTGGGGGCGCGGGTTGGGATCTGGGTGCCAGTGCCCTCTGCCCACCACGGGATGGTGGGAAAGGAGGGAAGGTGAATTTCCCGCCGGAGATTCCGGGGTCAGGGGGGGAATCTGCTTTGGGGCAGTAAAGCTGTGCAGGTGCGCAGTCAAGAAGAGAGGCTGGGAAGGACAAGGAAGTTTCACGGAGATGACTTTTGAAGCGCGGATAGGTTTGGCCGAGGAAAATGGCTTCATTAATCTGAGATCGCTGAAAGTCGAGGTATTCAGGTGCCCAGGAAAGCCCTTTCCTCCATCTTCCCACTTTATGATCTCTTCCTGTAGCCCATAATTACTTACTTAGAGTGTCTTGAAGACTTAGGGGCTTTTACTGGCAGGGCCCTGATTCGGCCCCACAGTATGGAGAGAGAAGTCAGAGAAGCCTAGAAATGTACTGCTTGAGGGAGGGGCCGGTGTCCTGATTTCTCACCTTCTTCAGGCTGGGCTTCATCATCAGGCCTCCTCACCAGCTCCTGTCCCTTCTTTTGTGCCCCGGATTCCGGATCCCTCGACCGTCAGAACTTTGTGCACAGCCCAGGTAACACGTTTTGTTCTGTCTTCAGTGCCTCAGTAGATGCTCAGTAAATGTTAAGTGACCAGACGGTGGCAAACGCTGGGGGACCAACCATCCACAGAACATTTCATCGGTGGGTCGTTGCGCCCTATAAGAGCAGAAATCAAAGGGCAGCCCAGCCCTCCCGCCTCCCCCTTTGAGACTCTTATCATTGAACTGAGATTTTCCCTTGCTGGGAAATCTGAGTGCTGCCGGTGCCATTCACAGGCCCAGAGCCATGGCCATCTCCTCTTCTTCCCGGGAACTGCCACTGGTGGCTGTGTGCCAGGTAACATCAACACCAGACAAGCAGCAGAACTTTCAAACATGCGCAGAGCTCATTCGCGAGGCTGCCAGACTGGGTGCCTGCCTCGCTTTCCTGCCCGAGGCATTTGACTTCATTGCACGGGACTCTGCCGAGACGCTCCGCCTGTCTGAGCCACTGGGTGGGAACCTTTTAGGAGAATATACCCAGCTTGCCAGGTATCGGGAAAGGGGGAGGGAAAGGTAGTTTCTTTGTTGGGTAGTGTCCCTGAGTTGCCAGAGGGGAGGGTCGTCCGTATCGCTGCCTCCCCCCCCCCCAACCCCCCCAGGGAATGTGGACTCTGGCTGTCCTTGGGTGGTTTCCACGAGCGAGGTCCGGACTGGGAGCAGACGCAGAAAATCTACAATTGTCATGTGCTTCTGGACAACAAGGGTGAGACTTTGGAACTCTTCAGCCTCCCTCTTCCCAGGCTTTTCTACCTAAACTTAAGGTCCTCCAGAACTGTTTCGCAACTCTGTTTCCTTGGTCAAAGGGTAGCTGTACTTCGCATCCTAGCTTATAAACGGACTCCGTGGGAGGAGAGAAGCGAAGCTGGGCGCTTCTAGAGCACCAGCACTGAGCCCTCCTCCTCTCTCTCACTCCAGGCTCGGTAGTGGCCGCTTACAGGAAGACTCATCTGTGTGATGTGGAGATTCCGGGGCATGGGCCTATGCGTGAGAGCAGCTCTACCATTCCCGGGCCCAGTCTGGAGTGTCCTGTTAGCACCCCAGCAGGCAAGGTGGGAGCTGTGAGAGGAGGAAGTGGGGGATCAGGAACAAGAGTGGGGCGGGAGAGGAGGAACACTCTGAAAGTGGTAACAGAGGGAAAGCCCTAAGGAGCGGGGTAGGGAGGTAGTGCCTAGGTGCTCTGACAAACAGGACGGGGGTGTCAGGCTCTTTTTCGTTGCAGATTGGCCTAGCTATCTGCTACGATATGCGGTTTCCTGAACTCTCTCTGGCACTGGCTCAGGCTGGAGCAGAAATACTCACCTACCCTTCAGCGTTTGGATCTGTCACGGGCCCAGCCCACTGGGAGGTAAGAGGATCTCTCTTCGAAACATAAGGGCCTCCTCTTACCTTCCTTCTGCACCCTTGGCCCTGCCAAAGAAAAGATTTTCTTCCCCTTCCCACTGAGGGAGAGAGAAGTTCATTCCCTAGATTGCTGCCTCTCACATTAAAGAAGAGTTAATGGGTAAATCATTCCGAGGCAATTACCGGATCGGTCACGGTCACGAGGAGCAGCCTGGCCTGGAACGTCCATCGCCTATCAGTTCCCCACTAGACGCTCCGCGTACGTACGTGAGCGCACGTCCCCTCCCCCCCAGGTGTTGCTGCGGGCCCGTGCCATCGAAACCCAGTGCTACGTAGTGGCAGCGGCACAGTGTGGACGCCACCACGAGAAGAGAGCAAGTCACGGCCACAGCATGGTGGTGGACCCCTGGGGAACAGTGGTGGCCCGCTGCTCGGAAGGACCAGGCCTCTGCCTTGCCCGGATCGACCTCAGTTACCTTCGACAGCTGCGCCAACACCTGCCTGTGTTCCAGCACCGCAGGCCTGACCTCTATGGCAGTCTGGGCCACCCGCTGGCTTAAGAGTGACTTCTGTGAGCGGGGACCCCCGTGGTGAGCGGGTCAGGCTGTTGCCGGACCCAGGTGCAGCTCCCCTCCCCTGGAGAGCCCCGACTCTCTTGATGGGACCCAGGCTCAGCTTCTTGGGAAAGAAGCAGCTTTCCCCTGAGCTCGGATTTCAGTTTCAGAAAGGTGGGATTTTTCTATAGTCACTGTTTATTTCATGAAAACTGAAGTTATGCGGAGGGCTGAGCAGCACTGGCATTGAAAAAAATAGAATCATCAGAAAGTCTGTGTCTGGACGTCTCCTTTGGGAGCTGAACTGGGAGGAGGTGCTGTACCCGCTGGGCTGGACTCCAGTTCTAGGCCTCCGGCTCCTTCGACATGCCTCTCTGCCCCAATCAAAGTGCGACACTCAGTGCATGTCCCGGCCCCACGCTCCCAGGCTTGGGCGTGGGAGTGGGGGAGAGGGTGGGGGAGGAAAAAGGAGAGAGGAGTGGGTACCGAATGACTTCACTGTCACCTAGAATGCCCTTCGCCCAAGCCAGAAGAAAGCAAAGGGGAAAGGGGCTGCAGGGTACATTATTTATTTTCACTTGAACATGGAAGGGAAGTCTCACACTCCCCCTTCCCCTCTTCAGGGGGAGTGTATTTTTATCAGCAACCCCTTTGCCATCCGCCCTGCGCCCCCCCTGCCCCTCTGCGGGGAGCGGGGACCGGGCTGGCCTCCTCCTCTCACCTCTGACTCCCTTGAGGAGGGTTTGACAAGAGGGGGAAGAGGAGGGAGCCACACCAGGCAGAGGTTTCAAGCCATGGAATGGAGGAAACGAGGCAGAGAGGAGCAGCACCAGAGGCCAGGAGAGAGTGGAAAGGGCCACAGCTTCTTTCGTTTTTTAAAAATTCTATAATTTGGGAGAGGGTGGTGATTAATTTCCAAAATACACTTCAGAGTCCCACCTTCCACACAGCTCCCTCACTCAGCCCTTTGGTTTTTGCAGACAAAATTTACGAGCCCTCAGAAAGCCAGAAGTACTGATGACCACGCAGTGCACCCGAAAGCAGTGTTCACTTCGGTCCCCTACAAAGACTATGTCCTATAGACTTTGCTTCTCCCTCTACATTTGTCTTACGGCTCAGTGGCAAGGTGGCTGTAGAGACACACATCAGGAGGGGACGGGAACATGGAAACGGGAAACGGGAAGCCCAGGCACGTGGGTGCAGGGAGGGGTGGGGAACACCACTTCCATTTTCCTTTGTCTTTTCCTTTAAAAAAAAAAAAAAGGCAGGGGTGTGATTGGTCGGAAGGGTAGAGAACAAACCCCAGAACAGTGTGTAAGCTCCAGAGGTGGGCGGTGGGATCCGTCCCCCAAGAGGCGAGAGGGGAAGGGTCAGGGCAGTGCCTGCAGCATCAAGTTCCTCAGGAGTTTCTGCCGGCCCAGCTCGTAGTCCTCCTCATCCACGTTCACCAGCAGCTTGATGGCTTCGTGGCCCACAGCCTGCTTGAGGGAGTCTGTGATAAAGACACCTTTGAGCGCCTCGAGGAGCGAGCCGTTGATGTAGTCGCGCCAGAATGCGTCGAGGTAGGTGAGCTCGGAGAACTTGATGTCACAGATGATGGAACCCAGGTCCCGGGACTTGAGGATGGTGTTGGCCTGGTTAAAGCGCTCAAACTGCCGCTCCAGCGGGTCCTGCTTGTTAGAGAAGACGTTGCCTTGCAGAGCGGTCTCGTGCTGGCAGTATTCGGCCCGAACCCGCAGCCTGATGTCTGTGGGGGAGAGCAGACACACACAAGTGGTTGCGGAGAGGGCGCTGACAGCCCCGCCCGACGGCCTGAAGGACCAGCCTGACAGCTGTCCTCCCTCTGCCCCAGGACCAGGTCTCCTGCGCACCCCTGAAATCCCTGCCTCAACGCAAGTTCCCCTGAAATGGCCCAGGCCCAGGCCCGGGGCATCGCCATCCCTCACAAGCAGCACCCTGCTTCCAGGCAATAATTTCCTAACAGGCACACACGTTCACTTAATTGTTTTTACTTTTTTTAAATATATTTTTTACTTTTTTTTTTTAATGTTTTATTTATTTCTAGGAGAGAGAGAGAGACAGCGTGAGCAGGGAAGGGTCAGAGAGAGAGGGAGTCATAGACTGAAACAGGCTCCAGGCTCTGAGCTGGCAGTCAGCACAGAGCCCGACGCGGGGCTCGAACCCACGAACCGCGAGATCATGACCTAAGCGAAAGTCGGACGCTTAACCGACTAAGCCACCCAGGCACCCCATTAAATATATTTTTAAATGTTTTCTTTGTTTGAGAGAGAGAGAGAGACAAAGCGTGAGCAGGGGAGGGGCAGAGAGAGAGGGAGACAAAGAACCCACAGCAGGCTCCAGGCTCTGAGCTGTCAGCACAGCTGGGGCTCCAACTCATGAACCTTGAGATTGTGACCTGAGCCGAAGGCGGACGCTGAACCGACTGAGCCACCCAGGCGCCCCAGGCACACAAGTTCGTTTTCGTGTTCGATCAAAAGTTGGTCCACCCTAAGGTAAGGAGGTTGTACCAGCATCCCTCTGATCTCGTATTAACTAGAAAGCCGTGAAATGGACTCTGTCACAAAGACCGAGGAATTCTCTCTCCAGAGATGAAGCAATTCAATCCCACTAAATCGTTCACCCGTTCGACATGAGCCTGGCACTAGATAGCCTAAACTGCCTGGGGTCTCAGCAGTTCTCCGTGCTCCCCCCTCCGGTCCACTCTGCATCTAGAACCCTTCAACTTCCTCACCACATGTCTGCTTTTCCTTGGGATCTGGCGTTACTGACTTCCGGCGTTTTCGCTGGCTCCCAAGCGTGGCTCTCCCTCGAGCTGGCCGCTTGCTACACATCTGAGGGCCCGCACTGGGGCAGCACACCACAGGGTAGTGGGGAGGCACTGAGCAGGGGAAAAGGGGAAAACAAAGCGGGGTCAAAGTAGAAATGCACACCCTTCTCTCGGAATGAGGAAGGAATCACTTACGACTTAGCACTAAAACCCGTATCAGTAACAAGACCCAAGAGGAGGACACAATGTGGGGACGATCACAGGACACAGGTGAGGCATTAACACCGCACCCAATTTTTGTAGGGCTAGCTGCTGGCGAGAGAGACCCAGTGCCCCTTCATGCGGGCTGGCAAAGCTGGGAACATGATCAATTTGGTGGCTTTTTTTTTTTTTTAAAGTGAGCTCTATTCCCAAAATGGGGCTTGACCTCAACACCGAGGTCGAGAGTCGGATGCTCTGTGAAAATTTGGAGGAGTTCACATGTTCTTACCTGTTTTAGGGGACTGGGGAGGCCTCGGTTCTGGATCACTGAGGGCTCGGGGGGTCACATAGCGAATCGACGTCTCCTCCAGATACTTGTCTACAAGATCGGGGCACACTAGGAGGGGAGGGAGTCCTTCAGGAAGAGAGGCACCCCCTTGTGGTCCAACCCTCCAAGGAGCCTCCTAACTCCTCCCAGGGAGCCCCCAGGGTTGTTGCCTCTACCCAGCACCACCAGCCCCCCCCACACTTCCCTGAGCCCGCCTGCCCTCCAGGCACCCTCACCAGCCCGTCTCCTCTTGAGGGTGACGTAGGGCAGCAGGTCATGGCGGGTGATGATCCGCAGCAGCTGCAGCACCTGGCGGAAGTTACTCTCGTCGCAGCGGCCCTGGCGCTCCAACGCCAGTAAGAAGTCGCGTCCGTTTCGGATGAGGCCGCGCTCGTGGTCATCAATGACATCAACAAAGAGGAAAGAGAGGACGCGCACATCCCTGTGCGTCAGGTGGGCGCCCACGATGTCGAACATGCGGTGCAGGCTGTAGAGCCCGTGCTCCTGCTCGCCGCGCTCCTCGGGCCACACGTGGCCGGCCCGCCGCTTCAGCCCCGCCATGCCCGGGGCTCAGGTGCGCGGCGCCGTCCGGAGGCCCCGCTCGGCGGCCGCGAGCCCCGCTCCGCTGCAGGGATGAGCAAAGGGCCTGTGAGCCACCCAGTGACATGGACGGGTCTTACTCGCTCCCCTCTGCCCAGTGCCTCACACAGTGCCTGGCGCGGGGCAACGCTGAGTCAGGTTTTATTAAATTTTAAAACGTGTTCATTGAAAAATACAGCCTTGCGCCCTTCACATCCAACAGCTGCTACCCTGCTGGAAAACGGGGTCGCGTTCCCCGAGGGTGTTACACGCAATTTCAGGTCTGCATGTTCAGCAGGAATTGCTATTAGATGTTACCCCGATTCTTCCCCTGCACCCCCAAATACTACTTTTGGTCCCCTGTGCTCTCCCTTCTACCCCCCAACCATCTCACCTCTTAAATGAAGGCAAGCCTGACAAAAGTAGAGAATTCATTTTTTTTAAATGTTTGTTTATTTTTGAGAAAGAGCACAAGCAAGGGGGAGAGCAAGAGAGAGGGAGACACAGAATCTGAAGCAGCTCCAGGCTCTGAGCTGTCAGCACAGAGCCCGACGCGGGGCTCAAACTCATGAACTGTGAGATCATGACCTGAGCCGAAGTCAGATGCTTAACCCACTGAGCACCCCCCCAGGCGCCCCAAGAATTCACTCTTAACTAATATGGAAGCTGCAGGAGAACTTACAGACAGTAGGGTAACTGAAAATCTTTAGGTAGTTTTAATTCTGCCTGTATCATGAACAAGCTGTGTAGCTGTGTGACTTTAGGCAAGTCACTAAACTTCAAAGTCACTGTCCCCCATCTACAAAAATGAAACTACTCCTCGGACTTGTTAAGAATCCAATTAGAAATTACATGTGAAACTGCTGTGTCAATAACCATGAAAGAGATTTTAAAGACATAAGCATCCTTGACCTCTGCAGCCCAGATCCATCCCCCGCGAATCTTATCCTCATACTTCCTGCAATCCAACCAAGTTCAAAGGCATAACTGTGCAGGAGGGTAGCCAACAATATTCACCAAAACTCACGGATTTAAACCAACAAACATTACTAAGCACCTACGTTGAGCCTTCTTGTGACCCTCTCTTGCCAGTGTCCTCACCAATGATGCTCGCACAGCATTTGGATGTACACCCCCTTCTACGCCTTCCTCGTGGCTATCATTTGCCCACCCCCTTGCAACGACCGACAGTAGCCCAACATTCACCCCATAATGTTTTTTCTTTCACATTTATTTTGAGAGAGAGAGCATGAGGAGAGGGGCAGAGAGAGAGGGAGACAGAGAATCCCAAGCAGGCTCCACGCTCAGCACAGAGCCTGACGCAGGGCTTGAGCTCACAGTCGTGAGATCGTGACCTGAGCCAAAATCAAGAGTCAGACGCTCAACCGACTGAGCCCCCCAGGTGCCCCTATAATTCGGTGTTTGATTCACTAAGTTTCACCATCAAGCGGGGTAACGTCAATGACCAGCCAGTAACCAAGCCTGAAGTCCCCAGGTTTCAACATCCACGCTAATCACACACGCACTGCCCAAATACTGTTCCACCAAACCACAGCCCCAATCACCCGACTCATTATAGGTTCCTGTTGAAGCTACACCTAAATACATCTTAAATCCCCTGCCCCGGTTCAGGTCCTGATGATCTCTCACTTGGACTACGGCAACAGCCTTTCAAGGGCTCCCCCGCCCACCAATCTTCACCCACCTAATCCATTCCTCACATCCAGCTGCACTGGCTACCTAAAATGCACAACTGAGGGTCACATGGGGCGCTCAGTGGGTTAAGTGTCTGACTTTGGCTCAGGTCATGATCTTGTAGTCTGTGAGTCTGAGCCCTGCATCAGGCTCTGTGCTGACAGCTCGGAGCCTGTGTCTCCCTCTCTCTCAGCCCCTCCCCTGTTCACACTCTAACATCAACAAACATTAAAAAAAAATTTTTTTTAGTAAAATGTACAACTGACCACATCACTTTTCTGCTTAAGACTTAGCTCCAGCCCCCTCCTTACCTAGGACACTCCAAACTCCCCTCACGCAACACACCAAACCTTCTGAGATGAGGCCCTGCCTACCTTTCCAACCTCATACATAGCCCACTTTTTTTTCTCTACCATTCTCGATTCGTTTATAGCTCACACACAGCGTGCAGTCCATTCCTCTGTCCCTGTCTCTACTGGCTTTGCCTGAATGCCCCTCTCACTTTTCTATCCCCTGCCCCATCACTGCTCATTTTCACATGGCCAACTCCTACTCGTCCTTTAGGGGTCAGCTCAGATAATCTTCAAGTTCGTCTCCACACCTCCATGCTGGGATACGTAGTCCCCTTCCGTGCTCCTGGAACCTCATGCGTATTTCTTTTAAACCCCTTATCAAACTGTAAAATCACTCATGTATTTATTATCCCAGCCCATCTTAAGCAACTCGTGGAGATGGACTAAGTCATATTCACCTTTATATCCTCAGTGCCTAGCAACGCATAGAGGCTGGCATAGTGCTCACAACCTACTGAACTGAACTGAGTCTCCAAGAGAACATCAAAAGCATCATCAATTAAGAAACAAGCCCACATAGGGGCGCTTGGGCGGCTCAGTCAGTTAAGCGTCCGATTCGGCTTAAGCTCAGGTCATGATGTCACAGTTCGTGAGATCGAGCCCCAGATCTCAAGCCTGCTTGGGATATTCTCTCTCTCTCTCTCTCATGCGCGCACACATGCTCTTGCTCTCAATCCTTTCCTCTCCTCTCTCTGTGCCTGTCCCCACTTGGGCTCTTTCCCACTCTCTCTCTCTCAAAATAAACAGTATTTTATAAACAAACAAAACAAAAAATAAACAAATATTTTTAAAAATCCACTGAAGTCCAAGAAAAGGCCTCGTTAAAGACACACATACACACAAGCCAGGTCCCACACGTACCTCTAGCTAGCTGCAGCCCCCCCCCCTACGCTGTGTGGACTGCCCACACCACAGCACCCCGCCCAGCAATAATAAGATGGGTGGTCCTATTTCCTAGAGCAAGACACTAAGTCAAAAGAGAACAGGGACACTGAGTGGCTCAGTTGGTTAAGCGTCCAACTCTGGACTTCAGCTGAGGTCATGATCTCACAGTTCGATCAAGGCCCGCATCAGGCTCTGCGCTGACAGGACAGAACCTGCTTGGGATTCTCTCCCTCCCTCTGCCTCTCCCCCGCTCAAAGCATGGGTGTACACGTGCTCTCTCTCTCAAAATAAATAAACTTCGAGAGAGAGAATAAAATAAGCTGTTTCAGACGAGCCAAGTTGATGGACTCTGAGAACACTGAAGAGCAAGGAGCACCTGACCCTCCCTCCCTCCATAGCCTAAAATGGAAGCAGAGACTCATACCTGAAGGGGAGCTCCCCCCTGTAAGCACTCAGCTCCCCAACATAGGTTTGAAATATGGATAAGAAACACAACACAGCTCATATCTACTTATGAGAGGCTAGATGCCGCTCCTCCCCCCTCTCCCCCGAGACCTGGGAAACAGCTGGGAAATAGCTACCCAACTACAGGCTGGTTCTCTCTGTACCTTCCTCTCATCTGTTGTACTTACTGGGTACAAACTGGGGGTGGGGAGTGGGGGGGGAGGGGATGGTGAAGAAAAGTAACTCCTTGCTCATAACAGGCAACATGAGAAAACTGAGCCTCCCTAGACTTCGCTGCGGTCCTTACCCCACCTGTTCCTCTCGGCCAGCTGCTGATTATGACGAGCTCAGAAAAAGCAGATGGGCAGGTGTCACATTCAACCAATCCGTGGAGCAGGTTGCTGGAGAGCTCCCTAATTCAAAGTCCCCAGAAAAGAAGAACTACTGTCCCTACATGCCTTGCCCCTGGAAAATGGGGCAGAATACAGGAAAGCACTATGGTCCTAAATATTATGTATCAGTGGATGCAATTCTGTAACAGACCTCAGTCCTCTGAGGGTGAACTCCCTAGAGAGAAGGGGGGGAAAATCCACCTTTAAGTCCTGGATCCCAGGCTGGCTCATTCAAAGGGCCAGGACCGATCAGAGCTTCTAGGTCACTGGTTCTCAACCACGGAGGATGCTCCCCCCACCCCCAGGAGCATCTGGCAATGCCTGGAGACATTTCAGACTGTTATGACTGGAGGGGATAAAGGACTGTGCTACTGGCATGCAGTGAGTAGAGGCCACAGATGCTTCTAAACATCCTATGATGCACAGAAGAGCCCCCACAAGAAAGAATTATCCACCCCGGAATGTCAATAATGCTTGGGATGAGCAACCCTATTCTACATGGACCGTGATAGGAAGGGTCAAAAGAAGAGACCCAGCAAGGCACCTCCCAGCCTAGATCTAGAGAAGGAAGCCATTTGGTCCCTCCGACCCAAACCCATCAAACAATTATTTCAGAAGAAAAGAAAAGCCAGTCAGACGCAGACTATTTAACTCGCGAGTCCAAGGAGCACTAAGGAGTTCCACCCACTCCAACCGTGGCTTCTCTATCACCTGCGGTTGCCGTTCAGTTGAGCAGCAGGCAGTGAGGCTACCCTCTCTTCTGCCCCATCTCAGGGGGTCGAATGTGACCCAGTTCAATCTGGGTCTCTATGATGAGAAGAGACATGCCATCCTCTGCAGACCAACAAAAAGGATCCTGCACTTCGTCCCCATGGCCATCTGTAAAGTCCTGAACCCAGACGAGCGGCAGACCTTTCCTTACTTGACTGCTGATCAGTCGTCCTGCTTATTCAAGGAGGCAAAATGTGGAAGAGGTGCAAGTTTCCCAGGGCCGTGTCCTTGGGAGAACTGTCAGGAGGCTGATGTGCAAGCTAATACACAGCACCCCCCGCCTTCACCAACTTAATTATCATTTAGGATGGCGAGTCCACTCAGCAATTCAGATGGGGTTCCAAGAATCCGTCTAACTTCAGCACTAAAAGAACATGCCCAATTTCCTCTTCAACCAAAACATGCACAGCTTTCTGTCACAGCTACACCTGGGAACACAGCGTCAGTGACACAGGGATCCTAGATGAGAGATGTCACAGCAGTAAGGAGAATATACCTCCTCTAAACAGATTTTTAAAAATTTCTGAGTCCTGGTATCTGAAACACAGTGATACAAGAGACAAACAAAACACTCCGGGCAACAAGAGTCCTGATCTGGCTTTGAGTCCATTTGAGAACCTAACATGAGTCCCCCCCCAAGTTTTCCAAGAAGAGCTCTTTATTCCGAGGAACCGCTGTATTTCCTGGCGTTATAGTTTTTTGCTACTTTGGTTTCTTGAGGGAGCTCTGAGCCAGCCCAGGGCCAACAGAGAGCGTACATATACCTACAGAGCTATCCGGTTTCTACTCCCCAGCAAAGTCTAGTCTCGTCCCAACCAGGAATGACATCTGTGTTTGTTGAGGCACTCAACTCTCTCGGAAGCCCTTAGAGGGACGTCACGTGGAGGGAACAAAAAAGAATGATCTCTTGAAATGAAGACGAAAGTCTAGTATCACCCCAACAAGGATGACATCTGTATTTTCACAGAACTAGAGGTATCTGACTCTCTCAGGAGGCCTTAGGGAGGAAAGTCATGTGGAAGAACTAAAAAAGAGTGAGGTCTCGAAACTTGGAATGAAAACAACATGGAAAAGCTTAAATAGTGCAGCGAGAGCTTTCCTGCTGGTGGGACAGGGGAAAACGTAGCCAAATATCTGGAAGTCAGAATTACACAGTATGTTTTCAAAAGGAAGATTCCAGGAAACCTAAACAACCAGGAGAGAAAGGCGAGGTCCCTCAGTAGCCCTCCAAGGGTAACATTCATAGACACTGCACTAAAGAACTAGTTCCATATGTTAAACAATGCTTCTCTCGGAGCTCGCCATGAAGACTAGAGAATAGCAGACCAAAGCTGAGAGCTTGCCCCAAAAGACCTAATTTCTTTTTTTTCTATTATTTTTTAACGTTTATTTACTTTTGAGAGGGAGAGAGAGAGACAGAGACAGAGCACGAGCAAGGGAGGAGCAGAGAGAGAGAGGGAGATACAGAATGTGAAGCAGGTTCCAGGCTCTGAGCTAGCTGTCCGCAGAGCTCGATGCAGGGCTCGAACTCAAAAACCGAACTCAAAAACCGTGAGATCATGACCTGAGCCCAAGCTGGACGCTTAACCGACCTGAGCCACCCAGGTGCCGCTGAAACACCTAATTCTGCTCTTCTTTCCCTCCTACCAAATTTCCAGTTACCCAGAGACACGGTGACTGCAACAGGTCTTCTCTCAGCTGGGTAGGTGAAAACTCATTTTCCCTGGCATCTAACCGATTACTGGGCTCAATCCCAATGCATTTCTCGTGCCATTCCCATCCCCTCCCATTGTTCAAAAACAATAAAAAGCTCCCAACTTACCTTTGCAAGAAACTTAATTTCCCAGGTCTCTTCCTAGCACAAGGTTTGAAGCCAGCAGCAAAACAAAAACAAATAAGGAGGGGGGAAAGAGTCAATTTTCCAGCGTGATTTTGAAACATCAAAGGCCCAAAGAGTTAGTCAGTCTCAGTTACAAAAATACACAGACACACCTAATGCCATTTCGATTAAAATGATCTAATGCGAGCAAAATGGGAGAACTCCCTCCCAACCAAGTCCCTAAGGCTCCCTAACTCTCTACCAACCATTCACAGAACAATACCGACTCCAAGAACTTCCAGCCTCAGTGGCCCATGGCAAGAAAGGTCCCAAATTAATTCAACAACTTGTGGGAAAGCCAACCATCCTCTGATACCTTCTCACCTGACTCCTCAATTCCTTAGGAGACCCATCTATCTAGTTACATTTCATTACATTCTAACATTGCCTTTCAACTTTAGGGAGAACTGGGGGCAGGGAAGTGGTTACAGCCAAAGAAGTCACTTTCTATCACTTGGCTTATCAGACCAGAAGTAGCCTTTCCCTTAGCACACAGTGAAAACAAAATAACCACTGAGACCGCATTCACTGATACATCTACCTTTCACCAGGGAACGTTTTCTATGCGTGAACGCTGACCCCCTCCCGCTTAGCACTTAAAAAGAAGAAGGAAAAAAAGTCTGGAAACTAAAGCAATCGTTTAATTATCCAGGCTGCCTTAGATGCCATCCTGTTTTCTGTTCCCTTTCTCAGACTTCCAGAGCCTCCACCCTGGCATGTAGGGCTCCACACCAGCATGGCTGTTTCCCCATTCTTACACTGCTAATTGCTATACACTAGAAAAGTCCTTTACTCCTTCCCCACTTCGGTGGCGGTGACACCGGCTTCCCCATTCTCCCTTCTTTCCCTAACCAGGAAAGCCAAGGGAGCAGCCAAGTCAGGGAGCCTCTGAAAAGCAAATCCAGTTGAACCCTCATCCATTCTCCAAATTCCCCAATTCTCCAAGCCGTTCCCTTCTGCCCTTCCCACCCTATTAAGAGCTGAAGGCCTGGCAATTAGAATTGGTTGCAACTGATGCTGCTTAACTCTGCCCTCTCTTGCTTTCCACGGGGAAAGGGGAACCCCCCACCTCTATCACCCGTGCAGCTCCACTGTCCTATCTCCCAGCCCACTCCCCTGCCTCCCAAACTTTCCTCCTAGTCTCTCACTTTCCCCATTACCTCGTCACACCGCCACGCTCTCCATTCCCCCAAATCTCCGTGCTCTTCTTTTCCACCCAAATTCTCCCCTAGGCCCTTCCCCCTCCCACCTCCAAATTAACACTTTCAAAACCTCCCCCCCCAAGCGTCTGAAGTCCCCTCCTCACCCTCTCCCACCTCCTCACAACACCGCTCTCCAGAGTCCAGTCCCTCCCACCACATGCCACCCAGCCTCCTCCCCTCCGCACCCCCGGCCGCTCCCTCCCGCGCCCACCGCCCTCAATCCGGCGGGATCGCAGCCCCACTCCCACCTCGGCCGCGCCAGCACCCCCGGCCGGGCCCGGCCCGGCCCTTGTTTACGCCCCTCCCCGCGCCCAATCCCCCGCCTCGCCCCTGCTCTCTCCCACAGTTGCCACCACCCCCGCACGCCCCCTCGGCCGTTCCCCTCCCCCACCTCGCAGCGTCCCGTCACCTCCCTCTCTCGAGGTTCTCGGGCTGGACGTCGCCTCCGCCTCCCCCTCCACTTTCCTTCCCCAAGCCCTCCGCGGCCCCGCCCGGCCCCGCCCCGTCCCGCTCGCCTCCCCCTCCCCACCCCGCCGCCCCGCCGCCTCACTCTCGGCTCAGGCTCGGCGCCGCCATGTTGGATCCATCCGCGCCGCCCTCCCGTTCCGTCGCACGCCGCCGCATCCGGGCTCCAGCCGCCGCCGCCGCCGCCGCGGGCGTGGGGGAGGGGGCGGGCGGCCGCGTCCAGAGCAGCGCCTCCCGGAACCTGGCCGGTTAGCGGCGGCTTCGAGACCATAGTGAGGCATGAGCCGGGGTGGCCATGCTAGGTGTGGGCAGCCTGGCAGCGGCATGAACCGGGGCGTGGATAGCTTCACTTTGGGACGAGAGACTAGAGACTGGCGGCCATCTTGCTTTGGGGCAAGCGGGCAACGCGAGTTCTCGACGGCGGCTTCAGGGCCTTGATGAGCAGGGAGTGCGGGCTGCGTTCTCGAGTGTGAGAACCTTGGTGGCGCCAGAGCGGGCCGGTGGCGACCTCAAGACCCATCGAAAGGCTGGGGCTAGCAGCCATGACTCATAAGGGCGGAATAGAGCAAGGGTCGGACTGCCCCGCGAACTTCGGGGAAGGTTCACGATCGGGGTTTGACCTTTGCCCTGAACTTCCGGTAAATCCGGACTTTCCGTAAAGCTTAGTCCCGAGCGGAGTGCGCGGCTCAGATGCCCCCCTCGGATTTCATTCTTTGAGCCTGTGCCTTTTAAGCGCCCGCTTCCTGAAGGAAGTGTCGCCAGAGCCGAACTTTGGACTGGTGGGAATTGGGGCTGGGGGAGCCGGGTGCGTTCTGGAGCCGCCGGCAGCCTGTTGGTTAAAGGAGAGGTAATAAATGAGGCCTGTGAGAATGGGAGGGACCGATTGCGCAAGGCTTTGTAAATTAGTTGATTTTATCCGAAGGGCAGTGAAGAGGCTTCGAAGAGCCTTGGCCGAGAAGCTAACAATTGTGCTTGCATTTTTAAAAGATCGCTGGTTGCGATGGGGAGAATGGGTAGGAGAGAACGAAGTCACAGGCAAGGAGAACAGTCGGGAAGTTTTTATCCGGGCGAGCGACGGCAGTGATCTGCCCTGGAGAAGGGCGACTGCAGGTGGAGAGAACTAGATCGGAAATCGGGAGGAGGCCGAGGTGATTTCCCAGTGCTCTGACTTGGACCACTGGGGGAAAGCGATGCCATTTTCTGTTTTGTTTCTGGGGAGAGAATGAGTTTTAGGTGCCTGTGAGATGCCTGTTAGTTGAATATTGGGTAACGTGGGTTGGAAGCCCAAAAGCTTGAGGCGTGCGAGCGAGTGTGTGAATGGAGATAGTTGTTGAAATGGAAGTGAACAAGGCGGCCTAGAGAGGACTATCTGCATCTGAAAAACGAGATGAGGGAAGAAGACAGGAAAGGGGGGCACTGAGAAGGGGCAGACAAGGGAAGAAAGGAATCCAAGAGAGAAGTATCAGGAAACCTGGTCTAAGTGTTGAATGTAACAGATTAGGTAAATGTGGGCTAAAATGTTTCCAGCAGAAGGAAGTCCTTTGGTAATTTTGAAGCAACTTGTTTCAGAGATACGGTGGGATAGAAACCAAAGTAAGTTAAATTGAGTGACTGGAAAGGGACAGTATATAAAAACCGTTTTCTCATGGTGTTGACTGTAAAAAGGGGGGGGAGGGGTAGGGGGTTGACAGTCGGGTGTAGCCTGAGGCTAAATTACAAAGAAAGAAGGAGTTTTAGATGCCTGTGGGACAGCCAGAAGTACCAATGGCAATTGAATACACAGATCTAATAGTAGGAGAAGTAAATTAAATGGTAATTATTCCATGGGGGGGAAAGCAAGGGCAGAAGTATACATACAGCACATTTACACAGGCATTAAAAAATTAAACATGACGAGTGTGGGCCTGAGAAGGATGAAATTTATACTTTTTATTTTTAAGAAAAATTTTTAATGTTTTGGGGCGCCTGGGTGGCTTAGTCGGTTAAGCGTCCGACTTTCGCTTAGGTCATGATCTCGCGGTTCGTGGGTTCGAGCCCCGCGTCGGGCTCTGTGCTGACTGCCAGCTCAGAGCCTGGAGCCTGTTTCAGTCTGTGACTCCCTCTCTCTCTGACCCTCCCCTGTTCACGCTGTCTCTCTCTATCCTAGAAATAAAAAAAATAAAAATAAATAAAATAAAAAAATAAAAATTTTTAATGTTTTATTTATTTTTGAGAGAGAGATAGAGACAGCATGAGCAGGGGAGGGTCAGAGAGAGAGAGGGAGACACAGACTGAAACAGGCTCCAGGCTCTGAGCTGGCAGTCAGCACAGAGCCTGACATGGGGCTCGAACCCACGAACCGTGAGATCATGACCTGAGCCAAAGTCGGACGTTTAACCGACTTAGCCACCCAGGTGCCCCTATGCTTTTCATTTTAGATCCATCTTTACTGTTTGAATTTGCTTTACTGTGTACCTATATTTTCTAGAAAACTACTTTTTAGAAACTCCAGTGATGTATAGGTCAGAGATTCGGAATTACAAACATTTCAGTGGCAGTTGCAGCTATAGATTTGGGTAAACTCCAGAGAACAGCAGAGGGCTAAGGAGAGTGCTTTCGGGGAATGCCAGCATTGAAAGTACAAGTAGAAGGGCACCGGGGTGGCTCCATTGGTTAAGTGTCTGACTTTAGCTCAGGTGGTGATGATCTCACGGTTCGTGGGTTTGAGCCTCGCTTCGGGCTCTGTGCTGATGGCTCAGAGCCCAGAGCCTGCTTCGGATTCTGTGTGTGTGTGTGCGTCTTATGCTCACTCTCTGTCTCTCAAAAGTAAACATTAAAAATTTTTTAAAAACTAAAGTACAAGTAGAAAAAGAGCCCTTGGAGAATTTTTGAGGAGCAGCCAATGAGAAAGAATAAAAATGAGGTGATAACTGTTACAGAATCTGAGGGAAGAAAGTGTTTCAAGAGGATCACAGTTGTTAAAAGTGTCAGATGTCCTCAGAAAGGCACCTAATAAGAAACATGCTTTTAGTTCCAGACCTAGTTTTCCTGGAAGCTTGGTGCAAAGGTCAAATACAGATCATGAACCTTCCCCCAGATACATGGAACTTGATCCCTGTGCTGTTCCACCCTTATGCATCATGGCTGCCGATCCCATCTCTCAGAATCCAGTTCTGACACCAGTGGTGCTGCCTCTCCCATTCCTTACTATGGCCCTGAAGTTGCAATCAAGAAAAACCCGTGTTGGGGCAACTGGCTGGCTCAGTGGGTAGAGCATGTGACTCAAGAGTCTCAGGGTTGTGGGTTGAAGCCCCACATTCGGTGTGGGGATTACTTAAAAAATAAAAACAAAGTTGGAAGTGGATTATCTCTTTAAAAAAAAAAAAAAAGGAAGAAAGAAAGAAAAACCTGTGTGGCCAGAAATGGTGAAGATAAGGAAAGTAGGAGTATAAGTTGGAGCTGAGAAAGCTAAGAAGTAACCGGGGGGGGGGGGGGGGGGGGGGGGGGGGGGGACTTATTAAGAGAAAAAGAACTCACTAGAGGTTACATGGATTTTCCTAAAACCACCCAGAATGATAGGAGAGTTGGCAGACAGGTTAGCGAATAGGTGCTGGGGTCCTCAAAAAGCAGGGGGACCGACGGGTAGTGGAGCCAGTGGCATAAGCTTCAAGGAGGAACAAGTCTTTGCAAGATGATGAAAGCACAATCGTCTGAAGATGAACACCCTCTACTTTAGAAGGTTGAAGGGGATGGGGCACCTGGGTGGCTCAGTCAGTTGAGCTTCCAGCTTCGGTACAGGTCACGATCTCGGGGTTCACGAGTTCAAGCCCCACATCGGACTGTACTGTCCACGTAGACCCCATCCCGTGTCCCCTCTCTGCCCCTCTCCTGCTTACACTCTCTCAAAAACAAACATTAAAAAGAAGAGGGGCACACGGGTGACTCAGTTAAGTGTCCACCTTCAGCTCAGGTCATGATCTCACGGTTCATGACTTCGAGCCCAGTGTTGGGCTTTGTGCTGACAGCTTGGAGTCTGCCTCGGTCCTGTGTCTCCCTCTCTTTCTGCCCCTGTCCGCTCATGATCGCGCGCTCTCTCTCTCTCTCAAAAACAAAATAAACATTAAACCAAAAAATTTTTAAAGTTGAGGGAAGAGATCTCCATTAGAAAAAGCCAAAAATTTCTACCCCACTCATTTCCCCCCTGAACCTATGGGACTCTGTTCCTTTGTAAACAGCCTCCTCTCTACCCTCACTTACTTCATAGATTGCTCCCTAGCCTTTGTTTGAGGAAGACTCATCAGGACATAGGTAGCTGTGATGAATGGGGGGAGGGGGCAGGGGCCCAGTTACTTCAGTCCACAAAAGAGACGAACACAGGTACCACTGAAAATAGAACCCTGTTCTCTCCATATCCACATTCTGAAGTCCTCGACGTTCTGGCAACGTGGACGTCATGCTAGTAATTCCTCTGTGAGCCCACCTCTCATCTCCACACGGCCCAACCACATTTAGAGGATCAGAGAGGAAATGGCGTGCTGAGGATGGCCTACGCCGGTAGTATGGTGTGCAGTGTGTCCATTGCAGCCTGTGGGGAAATAACCATATTGCCTCTTCACTCAGAATGAAAAGCTAAAGTGGGGGGGGGGGGGGGGCTGGGACTCTCTCAACTGAGCTTTACAAACCCTAGGCACTGGGATGACTGCCTAGGCTGCTGTTCCTAAGCTAGTCCATCCATTGGTGGCTGCATTTGTAGGAATGTTTTGTTTGGGGAGCCTTGGAAGTTCGTTCTCTCAACATGAAGCCTGGAGATGTAATAGGTCTTGAAGAGATCACAGTGCCCCTTTAGAGCTGAGCAGATTTCCTGAGGTGAACCATAAACATGAGCTAAACCATAGCGACCGGTGTAGAAACGGGCACGCACATGCCTGTCACCTGAAAAACTATTTCAAACACATTAAGATTTTTTGTTAGCCATCTCTAAACAATGTCCCCCCTTGGCGTAACCTCTCCGTCATCTCTACAGTGAAAGCAAAAACTTCATCTCTTGCTTTATGATCTTTTTCTACCCTCTCCTTGCTTCAACTAGAAATTTGGGAAAACTGGGGCACTCAAGTGGCTTAACGCGAGTTAAGCATCCGACTTGGTTTCAGCTCAGGTCATGATCTGGCAGTACTGAGTC